GAGCATGCCTAGTCTCAGCTAGAAACAGACTTATGGAGTCCTAAATTGTGCTACAATGAGCCTTCTGTGTATCTCCAAAATAGTTATTGTAAGGAACAAGAGAGTTGGAATGCCTGTTAGGAGGGCTATAGAGTGCAGAGGAGAAAAAATAGACCAACTTACAGAATGAGGGGGTGTGAAATGAGCTAATTTGGGGGAAGGGGAGCCCAGGATAGGGCTTGAGAGCATTGTTTCCAGCATTGTGTCTCCAGGGAATCTAACTATTGGAGTTGAGATGATGTCACCTTGCTACAAACAGATACTAGACATCAAGTTTCAAATGGAGAATGGCTACAGAAACTAGACTGAATGGAATGCCCCTGAGAAATGATGGATATAGCAACAATCCAGCTCATTTACTCATTCACACATTTATTCATTCATCAAACCCAGGAACACAAATCTTACATATCATGCTGAGAAAGAAACATAGACATTATCTCTGCCTTTTAGGAACTTACTCCTTTGGAATATGAAGGCAAAGAGAACAGACATTTATTGTACTCCTTCTGTATACAGACACCCATTAGGTTATGTTGTCCACACTTCTTTTAGATTTCTCTGAACAGCTAAATATATAATTCTTGTCACAGAAGTACTGATGAGAACACAGGTCCAGAGGCCTCAGAGAACTTAACTCAAAGCTGACTCAGCTCACCCTAATAAACCAGCATCTAAACACAAGGTTGACTGGTCCTAAAACTCAAGGAAGAGTCTCTATTTTGGTGGGAGACACTGGGATATCCGCAATAAGTGGATTGGGCTTCTAGTGCTCCTTAAAAAGCACTTGCAAGATTTTGCCTCAGTTTCACTCAGTTTGCCGTTAAGACCAATAGCCCACGCCCTTCTTGTGCTTTCTACAACAGAATAAACCCAGTTTTCTCCTTAGCTTCATTGTCGGAGGTGCAGCTGTTAAGTCAGCAGGCCACAAGGTGCCTGCTCAGGGTACCAGGAATTGGAAGGCCCAGCGTGGAGCATGGCATTCTGGAATGCTGAAGCTTCTGAACCACGGAGAAATATTGCTTCTTGGGGGCAGGTGCACTTCCTTGCTTTCTGCGGCAGATTCCAATTGGCCTCTGTAATTACCAAAGGAAGCTCCATGAGTTTTTTGAAGGAGCCCCATGTCTAGGCTACAAGGATAAAAGGAGAAATTCATCATATTATCCCCTAAGCATGAATACTCCATGCCTAATTAAGTGGGGGTGAAATCGTCAGCACTCTCCATGTGATATTTATTGAAAATGATTTGCTTCAGACAGTCCAGACCCTTCTCCTTAGGGACATGTGGAGAGCTGAGCAAGACCAACTGGGGCCCTTGAGGTGCAGAAACGAATCAGACTGGCAAGCTGAGAGCCACGGGGCCTGGAGTTGGCAGTGGCAGTGGATGGACATCTGTTGTTTTTATCATTCAACGCCATCTTTTCCCTATGGGACCCACTTCTCTTCTGCTCCAACCCTGCTGTGGGAATGAGCCTGTCAATCACGAGTTCCTATCCAATCCCCAGACCACTGAGGTGGGCATGTGAGCCAGCCTTAGCCAATCACAGTTCTTGTTTGCCTGACCTCAAAACAAGCTCCTCAGTCAAACTCATTCTTTTTGGGCAACAAGGACAAGGGGTGTTTATGTCTTTTATGAAGGAGTCTGAAGGGCAGGAGCAGCAACTTCTACTTTCTTCTTTTTCAATCCTGTTGAATCAGCAGTCTGTCTGAAAGGGACCAGACAGGAGCTGGAGTCAGCAATCCTGGAGAAAGGGGCCTGTGAGAGCTGAACCCCAGTCACCCTTCAGGAGTCTTCCCATGGTTGCCTTGGCCTTGAACTTCTGAGCTTAATTCTGCTATCTTCCACAGGCTCAAGATTCAATCAAATATTGACTGATTAAACGTCCCTGTGGGTCCAGTGCCGGCTCAGTGACTAATAGCACGGCAGTGTGCCCTCGTTTGTGATAAGCACCATGACCAAAAGCAGCATGGGAAGGGGAGGCTTTATTTCAGCTAACGGGCCACAGCCCATCATGGAAGGAAGTGAGGGAAGGAGCTGGAGCAGAGACCATGGAGGAATTCTGCTTACTGGCTTGCATAGCTAGTTTTCTTATACAACTCAGGGCCACAAGTCTAGAGATGGTACCATCCATGCAGGGCTGGGCCTCCCCTACATCAATAAACAAAATCAAGACAAGGGCCTCACCATGAGCCCACAGGCCAGTTTGGTGGAGGCAATACCTCAGTTGAGGTTCACTCTTCTCAGATGTGTCTGAGTTGAGAAATGAAGTTACTTAGGACACTATGTAAGCCTGACTACTGAGTCTGTTCCCTCATCCAATGTAAAAAAGCCAGATGCACTCACACTCCTGTGAGTAACTCCTCCTCCACACTGAGTGGCCCCTCATCCATGCTTCTGTAAGTAGACACTCCCTCAAGATCCCGTTAGCATCCCGAGTGAACTCATTAATTTACCAAACTGAATTCGGATGGAATCACTCCTTTGGTTTGTTATTGCCTTCTCTATCTGAGACGAATAGACACAGACACAGGCACAGACACAAGAGATAGAGGAGCCTCAGGAAAGGCCAGAGTTCTACAGGAAGCATGGACCCTTCCACTGGAAGTGCAGGTTTCAAAGCTTGATCACCTGGTCAATACCCGGGGTCACTGAAGGGTTGTCTGGGGGGTTCTGCTAAGACAGAACTTTCTGCTCCAACTCCAGTTGGGGTGTTCCTCCAAGTCTCTGATGTTTAAGTCTCTCTATGTTAGGGTTTTAATATGCATACACTTTTATTTAAGAAATGTTTCTGGTAAATAACTCTCCACTTATGCTCATGCAAACAACCATAATTGAACTCAGCAGGTCACGGAGGAGACACATCAGTGTGGGAGGACTAGTTGGGAGAAGAAAGAGGCATAGAGAGGACAATGGGAATGGTTGAAAAGACCAAAGTTCATTACATATGTGTATGAGTAAAAAACACTGTCAAAGAACAAAACAAAGAAAGAAAAAGTGGCTTGTAGCTATTGGTGTGATGGATTTAAACAAAGCCCTGCTGTTCTCTAAGTTCTGGGAGGAATTGGGATATTTACTACATTTCTGCATTTGAAGGAACCTCTGCTCAAATAAATGAGGTAAGAAAAAAATTCTGAGCAGCTTTTCAATGCTGTGCACCAAGAAACCTCATTATTAGAGGTGAAAATGAAGGTTTACTTTCTATTAACCCATGTTTTGACAAGTATCATCAATCAAATGATGAATGTCAACATAGTATTTTGGACAAATGACCTCATGTCTGTAGTATTAATTAAGAAAAATGGGTTCACTTGCTTGTTCATTCATGAAATTGTCACAGAGTGTCCATTTTCTGGACCCCCTGTGCTTAATACCAGAAATAGCAGAATAAAGCAGTGGAGGCGCCTGTGACCCTGACTCTTACAGAGATGTTGGAACTTTGTTATGTTGGAACTTTGTTCTTTCTTTGCAACCAAACCTACTTTTGAGGAAATACCTCTGGATGAAGGAAGGAGATGTTGACAGCAAGAGCAAGTGGCAGCTGCTTGTCAAATGCATACTGGGTCCATTTACCTTCCCCAGTGTGGAGCTGCCCACCCTCTTTCTCCAGTCCAGTTCAGGGAACTGACGCTCAGGCGGCTCTCTGTGTTGACCCTCTGCTCGTCTAACTTAGAAAATTGCTGACTTCTTTTGTTCCTGCTGCTAATGCTTGGATCTCATTACTTGTCTTTGCTTATAACGACCATGAAGCTGAGTCAGAGGGATCTCCTAGCGCATCCAGCTAGGCCTTCCTAGCCCTTGACCATGGCTCTCAGAAACTTCATATGAGCATCCTAAGAATGGAAGGACTGGTCCCCATGGCTTGCTCTTGGTTCTGGACATGATTATGAGTGGCTTCAGCCATCTTGTTCTCTACAGCTTTGCCTATGAATGAATTGAAGAAGCTATGACTCAGTTTTCTTAGGGAACAGCATAATTTCTAGTGCTGGGTGGATTTGAGGTAAAGTTAACTGCCACAGCAAATACATTAAAATGTTTCTGGGGCAGATGGGAGCCAAGATGGATTGATCCCTGGAACTCCTTGGTCAACCATCCTAGCTGAATTAATGGACTCTAGGCTCAATGAGAGATCTTGCCTCAAAAAATGTGGAAAGCAACTGAGCAAGACACCCATTGTCAATCTCTGGCCTAGCATACCTGCATTTATACCCACATGAACATGTGTATACACCTTGTGCCCCCAGCCCCATGGGTTTCTTTTCATGTCATTGCCAAAAGTGGTGACTAAGGTCAGGTGAAATTTCATGTCTATCCAGGGTCCAGGGCTCCTGCTGCGTTAGGGCTCTGCCTCCTTGATGTTGCTGTGATGTCTCCCCAGAAGGCACTAGAATAGGACAAGCCAGTGACTGCACCAAATCAAGATAATTGGAAGCATCTGAGTTGAGTAGGGAACAATGGAGAGAGAAGACAGGACTAGACCGGTCCTAAGCCCATTTCCCCAGCTTCCTGTTGACTGAAAGTTGGCCATGTGGTCACAGGGAAGGGTAAGGCAGTCTGGAGGATGTGGAACAGGCTGTGTGCTGAAGAGGGCATCAGTCTTGCTCCGAGTCCATCCAGGACCTAGCTTCTAGGTGGATATTAAAACTACTGTTTCACAGGACAGCTTCTTATCCCTGTTCTCTGCAAGTAAGTGTTTAAAATGATATTCTTTTGCCCTAGCTAGAGGAAACACTTCCAGGAGGGTGCTGTTTATCCATTGGGGAGTTGACAGCAACCTTTAAGGGGAGTGTCCTCATGTCCCAGCTCATGTCTATGTTCTCAGCATCCTTCCAGTTGGTGTCAACTTTCAGGAGTACCCTAGCTGAGACAGCCAATTAATATAGTACCAGATGATGGCATAGGGCACGGGAGAGAATGCAAGGTTGTGTGAGGGTGCCGAAATTGCTGAAAAGTAACCATAAAATGAGATTCCGTAGACACTTTTTTTTTTATTTTAAAATTCTGCATCTGAAAACACAGTATAGCAGAAAGCGTCTATGTACACCTGTGGTGTTTTTGGTATAATACAGTATTTAATAATCCACTGTTTTCTGCAAAAAAAATGTTGCTTTGTTGGACAGAAACAAATTCCCCTAGACAGAAATACAGCTAAGGCACAATTTTGTTGTTGTTTTCTACCATGTGAAAACAAAGGAAAGAGGCAGATGTGGGCGGGTAACACAGTTGTTTGTGAGACTTGGACTCTACCTTGATGAGAAGTATTTGGATGAGTAGAACTTTGATTATTGGTCAACTTCAGATAGTTTAATATTTCTTAAAATACTCCTTTAAATAAATAGCAAAATATCGACATCTTTCAGCGTGTGCCATGTGAACTCACTCTTATTTTTTTAAACTTTTATTTACAGATTCTCTCTTTTTTTTAAAATCAATACATTACAAAATATTTCTGTACAGTTTTATGCATATTATGATCTATAACAAAATAGTTATTTTTAAAAACTATATCACCACATGTCTTTGAAAACAAAGAAGGAGGCAGTAATAACGTATCTTGAGGCCTCTAAAACAAACATCTGGACAAATGCTACTGACAAAGTAAGAGTCTTTTCTTTTCCTTTAAAAGAAAAGATAAATGGATAAAGACAATTGCGCTCAATACCAGTGAATTTCCTATGAAAACCCTGGGGTTGTCTTTGGCCTCCATCAGCACTGGAGTGATGGAAGGGTTCAGGGTGGAGTCCAAAGGAGTGGGTGGACCATCCCTTCAAGAACATGACCCATCCACTGGGAATATTTAATGCTGTCACTTTCCAGGCAAGAAGGATGAAGAGATAAACTGAGAAATGCTCCTGATTTACCCTTGAATGAAGTACCTAAAGTCACTGGGTCTTGGAGGAAGGGGAGACTGGAGTGAGCATCCTGCTGGTGATGCCAGCCCACTGCCACAGCAACATGTTTAGAGGTGCTTCGGAGCTGCAAGAGCCCCCAAGACTTCATTTTGCCCATAGGAAAAATATGAGAACATTTTTCTTAAAGACGACATTTAAGCTATTCCTAGTGCATCTGCAGACTACAGATTGGCAGTCCCTTTGCTCAGGAGGCCGCCACACACGCAGGCTTCAAGATGCTCTCTCTTCTGTGATGGTGGGGGAAATTAGAGGGGGAGGATGTCAGCTTTCCAAAAATAATTTTAAGGCCACATTTCAAAAAGGAGAAACCTAAGGCTTTTTGGAGGAGTGGGGATGAAGGTGGGAGGTAGGAGAAAAATGCAGAAAGGAGAAGATGGCACTGGGAGCCGGGGAGGGAAGAGGCAGTGCCTGCTTCCTAGTGATGTCCATAGGCCTGGGCTGTGAGAATATTCCCAGCCACGTGAGGGGAGAAGAGAGGCCACTTTCTCCCTGTGTGGGGCTTGGCAAGAACAGAACCAAAGACAACAGGAGGGGTAGACACAGGTGGTGGGTAAAGCCCTCTTCAGTCTTAAGAGGGTCCTATAGAACATCTTGCTCATAAGGTAAAACAAACAAACACAGACAAACAAACAAACAAGCCCAACTAAAACTTATACAAGAAAGGGCGAGAAGGAGAAGGAGACAGACAGGGAGAGGGAGGAAAGGGAAGGGAGGAAGAGAGAGAGAGGGAGGGACGGAGGGAGGGAGGGAGGGAGGGGGGGAGAGAGAGAGAGAGAGAGAGAGAGAGAGAGAGAGAGAGAGAGAGAGAGAGAGAGAGAGAGAGAGAGAGAATTTGCATAGATTTTACATTCAGCTCCAGCACACTAGCCACCTTCGTTCCACCCTACCCCCAGGTAAACTTCTCAGCAGACATTGAGGTAGTGCCTGGGGTTGACCCTCGGGCAACATAAGGTAACTGAGGCAGAAGCAAAGAAGACTACTTGTGAGCCAGCACAGCCCCACATGGTTTCTGAAGAACCTTCCAGCACAGTGGCAGCATGGCAACTCAGATGTGGACTTTGGAGCTGGTCTGAGTGCTCCCCAGCCTCATCTCATGGATGTGGACTTTGGAGCTGGTCTGAGTACTCCCCAGCCTCACCTCATTGATGTGGACTTTGGAGCTGGTCTGAGTGCTCTCCAGTCTCTTCTCATGGATGGCACTGTGGCCATCTCCACTTGGTTTGATGGAATGCCAGGAGGTGGGGACCTGGGCACACTAGGGTCTCTCTGTGTCTGAGGCAGCACCCCAGACTCCAGATTGCATTCTCTCCTCTTCAGCACAGATCAGAGGAGCCCCATGAGCCAGCCCTCCCACAGATGACAAGTTTTCTGAGAAGGGGCTGACTAAGCAGAAACCTCCATTCTCCCACAGTCCAGGGTGAGCTCCCCTCTTTGCACTTTTAACCATGACTCTTTCCTCCCCTACTGTCTGAACTCTCCCTCATTTCAAACCACTTTTCCAGAGACAGGACTTGGCCTGAGCACAATTATGGAAGTTTACTTTTCTGCCCACATCCTTGAAAAACAAAACAAAACAAAACAAAACAAAACAAAACAAAACACAATAATTTGGGCGGTGATGACACACACCTTTGATCCCAGCTCTCAGGAGGCAGAAGCAGGTGGATCCCTATGAGGTTGAAGCCATCCTGGTCTACAGAGTGCATTCCAGGACAGCCAGGGCTACACAGAGAAACCCTGTCTCAAAAAACAAAAATCAAAAGGAAAATGAAAGAAAAAGTAGGCAACAATGAAAAACTAGATTCCTTATTAAACAAAGCAGAAGTGAACAAACAGAAGCTGGCTCTCTGGCTTCCCTTACCAGCGGGAAGACTCCACTGTTGAGTTGTACCTTCTCTCTCACTTTCACAGGCTGGGAGCCCACAGCTGCCCTTCTTACTGGAGGGGTCATGTGCATGCTAGTAAGACCACGCTCCCCACTACTCCCTTTTGTCTTCCACCCATGATTTTACTCATCTCTGCTTGTGTTCTGGACCGCATTTTGCTTTTATGACCCCTACAAAAGAGTTCCTCTGGCCTGCCAGGCCTTCTCGGCGTGCTCACGCTGACTGGGTTGATGCTAGTTTCCAGTCTATCCTCAATGCTGTCAGCAACTGCTGATCTGACCCCTTATGAACTTGGCTGTACATGGTGTCTTCTTCATGTTCCACACTTTGTGGTCCTTGATTGCTCTTCTCTGTTAAGGAATGTCTTGGCAGAGAGGTCACAGTTTCAGTCAACATCCTCTTCTCTATCTATAAACCAAGTAGCCAGAAGGAGGCATGCTCCTCAATACATCCAAAATAGCAACAAACTCCTTTGGAGTGTGTGGGCATGTGCATGCCTGCATGTGAGCGTGCATGCCCGTGTGTGTGTGTGTGTGTGTGTGTGTGTGTGCGGGGCTGGGTTTATACCTTCTAAACTCAATTTCAATTAAAAACGTTAAACCAACATTGAGAAATGAAACCAGGAGGCCTCTGATCTCCATCAGAAAGGACCTTTAGGAAGGAAAGGGCTGCATCACTAGAGCAAGGGGGCATTCATTGGGAATTGTCCCATTCCTTCTCAGAGATGACTGCTTTCTGCAGAGCCCAGGAAGTAAGCTTTGGGATGGGTAGCTAGCAAATGGCATAGAGAGGTGCTATCTAAAACCCTTCTCCCCATAAGGGATGCCCAACTTTCCTCTCAGCCTTCCAAACTATCTAGGACCCTGGTCAGCAGTCAAACCCATGGCTTCTTGCTTCTGCAGACTGCAGACTTAAAGGTTCCTATAGCTGATGGCTGTGTGCTTCCAAAACCCTTAGGCAGCCACCTCCCAAGGCTGTTGTTTCACCCATGGCCTCCAACAAGCACATTGTTTTCAGCAGGAAGACATCAACAAATAAGGATTTAAGCCACTTTCCATGGGAAAACATCTTTTCTTAAATTATGATGAACTTGTTTTAAATTCTCCATTTTTAAAAAACTAAAAGCACTATCTGTGAAAATAATTTTATGGGTCCAAAACAGAGGAAACAAATACCCCAAATTAGTTGTGGTGAGTGAGGAAGAAGCTGGGGATACAAAGTCAGCTTTGCCCTTCCCAACTAGTTCCAGTATGGAAAATGTCATTGAGTGTCACTGGGTCTCATAGTCTGTGACTCCCAGGGACCTTCCAGGACAGAATACACAAATCTCTAGCAGAAGATGGGTAAGAGGGGGACTCCCAGAGGTTTCACAGTCCCAGGGAAGCTTTGACCAAGGCAAAGACTGGAGGCATTGAGAGAATGGGATTCCAGGCTCAATGTTCCCATGTGTTTGTAAAACCAGTGTAAATTCTATGGGTTTTTTGAGAAAGCTACCTGATGGTTCCACGACCAGCAGACAGTAGCTACCTCCTGAGCTCTCCTGGCTGGGTCCCCAGCCCTCCTCCTAAGAGCAATCACTCTTAGAAGGATTCTGTCTTCCTCTGCTAGGGAAGCTTGTGCTCATGGTTAAACTGGTCATGAGAAGCCCGATGTGTAGAGCAACTGGGTGGACCTAGAGTTTTACACTCAGCACACTTCTCCCCCAACCCAAGCCATAAGCCCACCACATCCTTGTCTATGGGGCAGGGGTCAGAGTAAGGGTTGGTACTCAGGCATTCCAACATTTTTTTGAATTTAGAGGGACAGATGAGACCAACATCCTGTGCAAAAGGGAGGTTCCAGCCATCCACATGGGTCAACTTCCTGACAGTTATGGCACTGGTTGAAACTCTGCCATGGTATCTGACACCCCAGCTTTGTTCTAAGAACCAGAAGGGTGTAGGGTGGACACTGAGAGATAGAAACAGTGAAAATGAGAGAGAAAGGCAGGCAGACCAGGGAAGATAGGGAAGGGGGAGCCTTTTGTGAATAAAGGCAATTTTAGTTAGTAAGATAACATAATTGACAAGCTGCAAAAAACAGCACCTACTAATTAGTCATTGACTAAAACATATAAATAATAAATACCAAGGGTCTCTTCTCTGTGCCTGCCATGTTAGATGGGGAAGGGGCTGTGCACTGGATGCACCGTCAAGGTGGACTTCAGTACCTTCTTATCCATGCTGGGAGAGATATAAGGATGGACACAACTTTCCCCAGAGAACTTTGTCTTTTGGGGTACTCAATGAGGAAGCAGATGCTCTTCCTCAATGCCCTCCCCAGAATACACATGGCATGAAAACCCTTGGGTTTCTGGTACTCAAGCAATATGAATAACACTAATTTTTGAACCACCTTCCCTATTTTGAAACTCAATCTTCCTTCTATGTGGTTTAGCCAGACCGAGCCTGTTGGCACCCTAGGCGAGGAAGGGTATGAAATGAAGGACCCGATCTGAAATGTTTGTTCCTGGGTGAAATAAGTCTGATCCATGCAGTTTGGTCACAGTCAACAGCACCAAGTGCACAGTTCACAAAGGTTTGGGGTACCTGACCTCAGAACAGAAGGAGTGCCTCTGTGTTGCCATCTAGCTTAGAAGCTTGGGTCCAAGGAACCCCCCTTGGAGATTCAGAGCCTTGGTTCTCTGCTGCTCCCCTTTCAGTACCAAAGAGACCACAGTAGCTGTCTCCCAGCCCAGGAGCAGGTAGGAGAATTGAAACTCCAGCTCTCTATGTTTTACCCTGTTCCTGCTACCAGTTGTGACAGCCTTGGAAGAGGCTGACCTGGACAGATGGCAAGTTGGCAGTCACATGTCTGGGGAACCTTGGCCACGTCACATCAAAAGGCTTTCCTGAACCTCTCTGGTTTGCAGGGAAAATAGCTCACTGAGCGGCAACAGGAACCTTGGAATTCTCCCACATCTCCGCCTCCCGGGGAAGGCCAGGAGCGTGGCCACCAGCAGCTTGCTACTTTTAGCATGGGCACAGGGTTTCCCAGCCATAGAAATCAAGAGATAAATGGAAGGGCCAGGATGTAGATCCCACCCTTGGTCAGGGCAGTGCTTGTCTAACTGGCTTAAACAGAGCCCTTGGGTTCAGAAGAGGTACCTTGGAGATGCCCTTGGAGAAAGCATCACCTGGTGGGCTGAGCTGCGGGAAGGAACCTCACACAACTCAGCTTCAACCAGAGCAGCCTAGATTTCATCCTGATCTTGCACTTCCACCTCTGACTGTGCTGAGTAAACAAAGTTCTGCTGCTCAAAATAAAAGCTGAAAACTCACTTGTAAGGGGACAAGTGCAGGCCATCGGAGGGAGAGAACAGGAGCCTGCAGGACTGAGAAGCAACCGGAAGAGGGGAGACCACTGTGGCCCTGGGGCTGAGTCACCTACTCCAGAGGCCAGCTTGACAAATACAGGCTGACCCTTCTCTGGCCTCCAAACCCTCTCTTCATCATTCTACAGTCAGCAGAGATCCTTGTACAAAAGGCAACCCCCATACAAGGGAGGAGGCCGGGATTGAGGCTCCATTGGTCACGTGTGGCCACTGCTACCTGAGCCGGCCATCGGGCTTGACTGCACCCAGCTCTGATTTGGGGTCAGGGCTGAAGGAGCTCCAGGCTGTCTGGCTACAGGTCTGCATGACTGGGCAGGCGGTGGGGCCTGTGGCACAGATGTCCATGGCAGTCCAAGTCCCGCCCACCAGCGAGTCCAGCCAGGCTTCTAGTGCTGTCGCAGTGGAGGCTGCATTCTTCCGGGCCTGCTCCACTTGGGCAGGATTGATGGGCAGGCTGAGGACCGGGTTCAGACTCTGGAAACTCTGCTCCATGTAGGCACTGTGAGGTGGCCCATTGTGCAGCTTCAATGCCTCCTCTGAAAGCCAAAGGAAACAACGAGGTGTTTAAAAGAGTTATCAACCAGGTATCTACTTACTGTGAACCAGTGCAACAAGGTACACCGGGCATCAGCTCCCTGAACTCACTGGACAATCTCATGTATGCAGGGCATGGCACCTTTACTTACTAACACACAACTTATTGGTTATCTTCAGTTGTCCAGACATTTATTGATTAAACAATATATTCTTTCAAGATTTATTTGTTACTTTTATTTACGTGCAGTGTGTGTGTATGTGCGTGCATGCGTGTGTGTGTGTGTGTGTGTGTGTGTGTGTGTGCGCGCGCACGTGTGCATGTGTATGGAGGTCTGCTTCTCCCAGGGCAAGTGCCTTTACCCACTGAGCCATCTCAATACCTTATTATTTTTGAGACAGGTCTCTTACTCAATCTGCAGCTCATCTGTCCAGTTATGTGGTTTGGTGCTGAGCTCCAGGGATCAACCTGCTCGGCACCCAGCACTGAGGTCTCAGGTGCATGTCTCTACACCTGGCTTTTTATGTGGCTGCTGAGGATGCAAACTCAGGCCCCCCCTTGCTTGATGACAAACATGTCACAGACTCAGCTACCTTCCCGATCCCACAACACTTAATTTTCAGCATCTGCTTTGTACTAAACCTCTCTGATATGAAAAGTGATGGATGATTTATTTCTTAGGCACAGATGTGCTAAATGTAGTGACTAGCTTCTGTGCTAGATGGTGGGATGAACCAGATAGCCAGAGAGGTGGGGCTACAGTGACACCCAAATACACCAGGTTCAGAGTGGAGAAAGACTGTCAATGACAAGGAAATACACGAGCCGGTAATGAAGGTCATTTCAAGTAGTGATGAACGTCACAAAGGTGATAAGCAGGAAACTGAGTCCAGCATAGTATGGGCCTTCAGCCAAATCCAGCCCACCTTCTGTTTTTGTAAAGTTTCATAGGAACACTGCTCTGCCTGCTTGCTGATGCATTCTCCACTACTGCTCTGGAATGCTAGCGAATGTGTGTAGTTGAGACAGAGGCAGTATATTTTCTAAAAAGCTGAAAATACTCACTATGTATCATTTATGGGAAATGTTTACTATGCTCTGGCTTAGAGAATAGTCTGGGATAGGCAGGGAAGACTTTCCTGAGGAGATGACATTGGAATGAAGTATTGATTGATATGTGTAAGGCCAGAGAGGAGAATTCCAGGTAGAGGGAACAGCAAAGGTGAAGCCTCATTACCAAATCACACAAGTAATGGTTGTTGGAGCTAGAACATGAACCCAAGTCTGTTGGCCTCAAAGCCAAGGCATGGTTGCCAAGTGACTGCCATGAACTCTGGAGAAGCTGCAGATTCTTGCTTCCCTGGCAGCCTGGTCCAAAGGATGGGCATGTGAACTCAGTACTGCAAAGTGGTCCTTGGAAGCATGCAGTGTGGGCCAGAGTGGGGTAGGGTGCCCTTTTAACAGCTCTGACTTGTTGATCACCTCCTGGATGTCAGCCTTTCTGCCTGTGGGATCTAGCTGGGCTGAATGGCCTCAAGACCCAAATCCCACATACAAGGTGTGTGACTTCTGACTTGTGTCCTAGTTTCCTCATTGATAAGATTGTGGGGGGATGCCTCCTGTGGACTCTGAGGGTAATGCATTGACTGTTATTAGTTCATGATCCCATCACTCAGAAAACGATAGGGCTGGTTTTATCTCATTCATTTTATAGATGAGGAAACAGATGGCATAGTCATTTCAATCCAGAGTGGTCTGACTCCAAAGGTGTGCTGTCCACCACGATGCTCTATGCGGGTTCAACCACGAGCTCACCACTAAGGCAGGGTTGTTATCTTTTTATTTTGGCACCAGCTTTATGAAGGCTTGTTGTCCCTATATATGACAAATATGGCCACTCAACCTGGCACCAGTTAGTTAGAACCATAGGAGGCTTGGTTACAAATTCAGAGTTTGTAATCAAAGCCAGGGACATACAAGAGGACTGTTGAGTCTTCTTCAGGTTAAAGGGAGGACAAAGAAATCATAAGAGTTTGGGGGTGAAGGAGACAAACAAGGTGTGTCCTATTTGAAGAGGTTCTTATTCTTAGTCAAATTAAACTTCAATAAATTAGGTTTTGGCCATAGCCAGGATACTGGAACACAGGGTTGGTAGCACCAGCAGGATGTGCCAGGAGAACAGGGCCTTCTGTCTTTGGTACATGTCCTAACTTCTCTATGAGAGTCTCTTTGTGCTTCTACCCTGCAGAGGTAGGAGCAGGTAATCAAGGCTGAAAAAAGGCAGGATAATCCAAAGCAAAAGGAACAGCTAATAGACATTGAATATTGGGAGCAAAATACTGTGTTTGATGCATGAAGAAAAAAACACTTTATGAGAAATGAGGTTAATGTGGGAAATGGCATTACGGCATCAGCTCGGAGGTTTGCCTCCATAATTAAATTTTCCTCAATTCCACCTCATCAGATTTCTTGAGATTACTGGGGATGCAACAATAGCAAATTACTCAAGATGAATCATTTCTCAAATTGCATTACTCCCACCTCAGTGTTCCTCGTCTCATTAACAAATACAATTACTGCCAATAGGAGAACTGTTTCCTCCGGGGTATAACTGACCCCAAGGTCTTTCTGGGAATGGTGGGAACAGGTCCTGACTCCCTGGAAATCACAGAAGGAAAAATGGAGAGACTAGGACCATTAGCAGGGTCCAGGGCTTCTCTCTTGGGATGCGTGGATTGAGAGCATCTTTTGCACTGTCCTACACAGTACTTGAGGCAGGGAGGATGTGTGATTCCCATCTCCCTTATTCACACTTGGCTTTTAGATCTTCAGGGATGCAATGGGTGCCCCATGAAGGAACACTTGAAGACATTAAGTAGATAGGCTCTGCCTTGGCTGATTCTGGAACGAAGGCCCAGGCTTCAATCTCAGGAAAATACCAGGTATCTAGATATTGGCTTCTTCAGCACAAAGACTTAGCAAGAGCTATCAGAATTCACGCCAAGCCCCTATTTTCAGGATTGCAGGCACCTATCCCACATCTATGCCTTCCTGGCCCTCATTATCAGTATAGCACTTGGTGCCTGCCAAGAATGCTTCCCACTTAGCAGGACTGTCATGTGTATCTAGATCCCGGGCGTGTGTTGTGTAACACGCAGATGGACAGTTCAGATACCGATCCCTCTCGGTTTCTCAGGGAAGTTCCTGGGGAAAATTGTGTGTGTGTGTGTGTGTGTGTGTGTGTGTGTGTGTGTGTGTGTGTGTGTGTTGACCACGCCCACATTGCTCTTCCTGTCATCATTCCTTAAGCAACATGCCACAGCTGTGTGTATACATCCGTATTGTATTAGGCATTAAGAGACATCTAGAGATGATCTACTGTAAACGGGAGAATGTGCATAGGTTATGTGCAAAAACTGTGCCCTCTTCTAGAAGGGACTGATAAACTTGCAGTTTTTAATAATCAAGGAAGAATCTGGAACCAATTCTATATAGACACTGAGGGGTGTTTGTACTGGGAGTCTCAGAAATCCTGTTTCTATGAGACTGTCTCGTGAGCCTGGGCACATGTAATTTCATGTTCCAGAATCTTCCTTGTAGCACTTTCTGTAACAATGTCATCATCAGACAACATAAGGTACCATGTCCAGTAAGGAACAGCCTAGAGCTCTTTGACTGTGGAATCCCTGTGGCTGGCAACTTGCACACACTGACTGAGAAAGCTACAATTTCTGTTTGGTACAGAATGTACCATGGCATTCTAACCATGTTTCTGTGCTTTAAGACACATGCTTGTGTTTATGATTTAAAAGGCTGCAAATAGATGTTAGAAAGATGTTCTCTAACTGTCCACAGTGGTCACATCTGAAGGGTAAGAATTTAGCCAAACAAACAAAACAAAAAAAACCCAAGATTTTGTTGACAAAAGAAGGTGGAGGAAAAACAGAAATTCAAGCGTAAACCCTTTGCTTGGAATAAAAACAAGTGGGCCATTAGGGGTCAAGTGCCCCTCTCTCTGTCCTCCATGCATACTGTGAAGCAATGGCCAGAGGCATATGTTAGCAACTGCCTTTCTGTTTTAGCTTCCTGCTGAGACATTAATCCTGAAATACTTAATACATTGCTGACTTTCCTAGTTTTGAAACTTAAATGAAGTAATCTTAATTATGGCTTGCTTATTGATCGGTTTTCCTCATTCATCATGCTTTACAGTTGCATGTGGCTAGCTAGCCTTTACTGCTGTCTCCACTACATGAGACTCTACTGTGTAAGCAGACTATATACTATTCTTTTGTGTGTAGAAACTTATGGATTGTTTGTGGTCCTGTGTTCTATGAACAATTCTGCTATGATTCTTTCCTTTATTTCTGCTTGAGCCTATACCTAAGTGTGGGACTTCTGTGTGGTAGGTGTGTGTATATCCAATATGAGAAGGGGTTCACCCATCCCACAAACTCATCCTACATATTCATCTCTCAGGAGCCTTGGCTATATGCCCATGCATCTCTGACCTGCCCTATGACACTGCCCAACTGTCACAAGCACACATTTATTTCCCACTTTGGAACTGCTTTTCGTTTCTATATTTCATTATTATCTCTCATTATTAACAAGGGAAAGGTTTTTTATGTTATACACGTGTAGGGGAATTTATACTTTCTCTTTCCTTCCCTCTCTCTTCTATAGCTGCCAATGGCAGTCACCGTCTTCAGAGGATAAATGACTGATATTCAAGCCTCATGGTCTCTGTCCCAGCTGTTGGTGTTGGCCACCAAAGCCCCAAAGCAGACATAGGCATGATGTCCACAAGTGCTCATGACCGGTTCTTGTGAGATGTCTACAAAGACCAAAAGTGGCCATATTTGACTGGGGCTCATAGTCTGCCAAACTCTTGTTTATGAGATTTTTTAGTGTATTTTGGGGAGCAAATATTTTCCACCAGTGTGTGGCTTCTCCTTTTTACTTAGGGTATCACATTTTCTATGAGCAGAATTCCAACAGTAATTATTATTTTCTAAACCACCAAGAAGCCATGCTAAAACTCAGTGTGTGCCTAGGATTAGTCCCCATCTTGTCTTAAATATGAGCAAAGCCTTGTGGAAGTCCAGTGGGCCCACAGCTGATAAATACTCACACAGATGGCTTTGCCTCTGTGCACAGAGAAGGAATGAGCAAGTTCTATAGGGTAAACAAGTAGAGAAAAAAAATCCCAAATGGGGAAGTGTTGCTGTTTGCAAGGCAGCCCCATGCTCCATGTTGGGCATGGGATCCCTGGGGTCCATGAGGATGGATGCTCTCCTCTGTAAGGACTCTGAGAGTACTCACCTGGTTTGATGGGCTGCTTGTTGGAGAAGGTCAGAGGTGCGACAAGGAATTTGGTCTCTGCAACCGGCACCCAGTGATGGAGAATTTTTACTGTCCAGACCCCAGGCCTCAGAGGCAGATTCAAAGGGGGTTTGTAGTGTGTGAATTCCGCAGTGGATTCGATCAGGATATCATAGGTGGCTGCGATGACATTGACAGGATCCACCCAGATAACAGTCACAGTCACATTGGGCCCCTTTCCCCATTTCTGCATCCCAACGGGCTCATCCATGGGCCCCAAGAGACCGCCGAAGTTCCGGAACAGCCTCTCTTTGGCATCCCAATCAGTGCCAACCTGAAACAGGAAAACAAATCCTGAAACCACTGAGTCCCAGGAAGGTCCATAGTTACACTTACCCATTTCACTGATGAGGAGACTGAGGCTCCAAGTCACCTGGGACTCATGGAACTTCTGCTCAGGTTGGGACTCCAGGGCACCAGCACCCCGCTGTGCCAAGACCATGCTGTGTACTTTGACTCTAAACGTTGAACCAATGAACTGGATGCGAGTGTGAATAAACACTGTCTGGTGTGCTATTCCAAGTAATAGCCTGCCACTCAGCTGGTGAGACTGGGCTCCTCTTGGGCCTCTGCTTCCACAAGTGGCACACCTGCATTTGGTGTGGTCCTTATGCATAAGGGTGGAGGCCCGACTTTGGCTTCTCCAAAGCATTCTGCTCTGGACCTGGGAGACGGGACATGCCTTACGTTCACTCTTCCCATGCACCACCTGAATGGCTGCATGGCAAGCCTCTGGGCTTTCCTCCTTCTACTCTGTCACCTTCAAGCTACTCTGCATTCAGGAATCAGGGAGCTGTCACATGCTGCTTCACTATTCAGGACTTCTTACTGTCCCTGGGTCTGCACTAACCCCTCACTATGGTCCCCAAGTGTTCCTTCCCTCCACCACCATCTACCTATCCTGCTCCATATGTGCCTTCTTCCAGGCCTTTTAACTTACCAAGCCACCCCTCCTCATCTCTGAATGGAATGCCCTACCTCCTCACACCTTTTCATAGCCAGCCCTTTATCTGAGAGGTATCCTTACGACTCCCCGAACACCTTAACACATCACCCCCCTCTGCTGTAATGTAAGCCTGTGAGAAGACAGCCTGCTCTGTGTGGATCTCAACTCTTCTATGGTGCTCAAGCAATGCTTGCTCAATAAGTAAACAAATTGCTTGGCAAGAAAGTGAATTAGCAACATAGATCCTTGGCTATGTTGATGGTTTAGATCAAATTAAATGAGAAGGTCTTCTTACTAAAAAAGGGGGGTGCTCCCTAAGAGGAGTGACTTAGTGTTTCTGACATGTGCACATAGGTATGTCGGTGGCAGACACTGAACACAATGTAAAGCTGTGCTCTCTCTCTCTCTCTCTCTCTCTCTCTCTCTCTCTCTCTCTCTGTCTCTGTCTCTGTCTCTGTCTCTCTCTCTCTCTCTCTCTCTCTCTCTGTGTGTGTGTGTGTGTGTGTGTGTGTGTGTGTGTGTGTGTGTGTGTGTGTGTGTGTTTGTGTGTGTTCACATGTATAGGTTGAGGTGAAGGTGTGGCTATACAAGTCCACTGGAAAAGTTGCTGTACATGCACAGCAAACAGTAACTGAACTTCTTTCTCTGTGTTCTTGCCTGGAATCACTATGTCCACTCTTCACCTAGGACACACAGTTCCACGTCAACACCAAAGGCTCGCACTGGCCAGGCATGAAGTGGAGCATCTGCATGTACCTGCTCATGTGATAGTCTCATCTGTGAAGAGGAGAACTTTGTCACTATTCTCAGTGTGCAGATGAAATTGATGCTCAGAGTTAATATCTTGTTGTGCGAGTCCAAGAAATCTACTAGTAATGGATCATCTATTTGTCTGTCCATCCATCCATCCATCCATCCATCCATCCATCCATCCATCCATCCAACTGTCCATACTTCTACCCATCCATCCATTTCCTGCCAATATGCACTACCTATTAATTATTTATTTTACAGTATCTATGTCCCATGAAACAATATCTCATGTATATACTATCCCAAATATCATCAACCAAGAAATCCACCCACCCACACATCCATCCATCCACCCATCCATCCATCCATCCATCCATCCATCCATCCATCCACCATGTCTAAATATCTGTGTATTACTCTATCATTTACTGGTCATTCTGTCTGTCTGTGTATCCATCCATCTATTTACCTACCTACCTAGCTACCTACCTCAAACTTGAGCACATACTTAATGATCAGGGCTGAGCAGACAGACTTCTCTTTATAACTATACTCTGGACACCCACTCTTGTAACACTACTAACAAAAAAAAAAAAAGAATGGTCACAAAGTCATGCTGGGGTCATACAGAATGAATTTGTAACTGCTCAGGGAACTCTGAGGAACTTTAGGAACATTTTCTAAAGGAATGGGGGTGGACAGTTACCTGAAATCTGTATTCCCAGAGTCACTTAAGCTGGAGAGTGTGGATGAGCTTGCAAAAAATGGGGCCTTGTCTTAAACCGAGGAGCATGAAGGATATCACATGCCTTCTGCTCGAAGTGTGAGGAGAGGGAGTCTCCCTCTCAGCAGTCCCATCTCTGTCACCTCTGTCATGTCTGTCATCTTCCACATTGCCTTAGTGTGGAAGTCTACAATCATTCGTTGCAAAATGGGCTATCACAGAAGTTTGAATAAATGTTCAAGTTCAAGCCTCCTGTGCTGCTTCCCAGCTCCTAACCCCATCATCATCAACCATGACCTCAACCACTCTCCATCTCATTCATTCACCATGCTCTGGCCTTTCTTCTTCTTCTTCTTTTTCTTCTTCTTCTTCTTCTTCTTCTTCTTCTTCTTCTTCTTCTTCTTCTTCTTCTTCTTCTTCTTCTTCTTCTTCTTCTCCTCCTCCTCCTCCTCCTCCTCCTCCTCCTCCTCCTCCTCCTCCTCCTCCTCCTCCTTCTTCTACATGCCAAGCTTCTGCTCAGAATCTCAGGACATCTGCCTATGCTCTGTTCTCTACTCAGAATGTTCTAGATCTTCCCATGGATGATATGGCTCTTTTACAAGTGTCAGCTTGAACCTGATCTATTTTTAAAAGCATTCCAGAAGAAACCATCCTATTAGAGATTGCCTTCACCAGCCTCCTGAACCTGAGCAACCACACGAATAGATTTCCTTTTGTTCTGAAGTACTTGCCACTAGGTGAACTATTTTTTCTTCACTCACTACTTGTCTGCCTGCCCCAGCAGAATTCAGTTCCATCACAATAGACAGCTTGTCTGGCTCACTGCTGTCTTTCATGAATCTAGCATATTGTAGGTCCTTGGTGAGCACCCTTTTCTCCAATCAATGGCATGGGCCAGCATGCTAGAGAAATCTCTCAGTTGACCATCTGCCACTATAAAAGATCCTGAGACCACGATAATATCAAGGGCACCCTTACACTGTTTATAAGTGGCCCTTTAGGTCTTCCTTCCTTCTTGCTTAGCTCTGTACCTTTGCCATTAAATAAACATGACCAGAAAAGTTCTACACACAAGGTTGGGGCCTCTGCCTCCTGTGCCTGCATTGTTAATGATGGAATTGGTTGTCCTCTCACCAGGGCTGCAGGATTCATAGTGAAAACACTCACAAATTACTAGCCATGTGACGACCAACTATCTCTTGTCACTGCCAGAGGTACCCAGTGACCCAATAGCAGTCTGATAAAGAGGGAAAGCCCAGACACCAGGCATTCATCTCTTTAATGGGACATGAATGTCTTCAATGGGCTACTTGGGACCCCAGAACAGAATCCAACTGGAGCAGCATCTAATTGTACTGCTAACTCAAGTAATTTATGGACCTGGCTGCCATAGCATCTCAGAGCTAGTCAGTTCCCATGGAACCTTCCTTAAAAACATGAGTTTACAAGAAACTCATCCATGCTTGTTTGACAGGGAATCTATTCAGTCATGGGGCAAAGCAAAGAGACAGGCCTCCAGTGAGTGAAGAAGGACCAGCAAGGAAACATAAGCAGGTGAGATTTCTCCCTCATACTCCCAAACTCTCAAGTTCCTGCATATCAAAAGTCACTCTTCAACCTTAACCTGGCACTCAAACCCATTCGTGGGGGTCATGAGGCCCAAGCTCCATCATATTTCCTCTTCCTTCCAGCACTTTCCAGCCCCAGGGACAGTCACATTCATTCAACAGTATTCAGCACCTACTAATGACACGGCTCTTCTACTAAAGATATGTGCAGAGGATGCAGCAGTGAGTGAGAGATAGAGGTCCAGTTTTCTGGTGTACAATCAAGACATGTTCATAAATCAGCAAGATGACATTATAAGGTAAATCCTAAAAGAGGCAATTAAGGAAGTAGTAGGTGTTTAATGTTGCCATTGTGATACAAGGGGCTAGTCAGGGGAGGTGTCTCTGAAGGTGCCTCTTTGGATTTAGATCAGAATGACTGAAAAATAAAAGACTGAAACATATAGGACAACCTGTGAGAAAGCAGTCTAGGTAAAGGGACATGACAAGCTCAAGTCAAGAATAAGGACATCTTGTTTGACAAAGACACAGAAACTGTGAGCAAGAAATAGTGTAGTATTGGACAAGGGTGGAGAGGCAAACAGTAGCCAGATCATGTGGGGTCTTCTGGGCCTGCAGGCAGGGATGATGTGACAAGGATGTACCAGGAAGCCATCACCCAAACCAAAAACATTTCTAAGAGATGATGCTATTGTTATCAGAGGGGAGCAACATTTTATGGATTCATATATCTGCAGTTAGCCTACTCAACCATCTCTGACACTTCTGCTCACCAATATATCCATCCACCCATCTGTTCATACTTCTATCTGTCCATTCATCTACCCATCCACCTGTCCATCCATCCGTCCATCCATCCATCCATTCTATTGCCTACCCTTCCATCACTTATCTGTCTGTCCATCTGTCACCCATCAATCCATCTATCCATTCATATAACCACCTATACTCCCATGCTTCAATCCTCCATCCATTTATTTGACAGTTCATCTAATCACCAATCAGCTCCATCCACCCATTCATCCATCTATTCATTCATTTAAATGGCCACCAGCCCACCTACTTTTAAAGTTTAGGAGCTAGCCCCTGTGGTAGGAAAAAGGGGAAAATAACGGTATAAAATGAAGCATGGAATTTGTGGCCAGTGAGATGTGGAATCAATTTTGTGATTTTCCATGTCTTAGCAGTTATTTAGAAAATAGTTAGACGTCCATAAACCTCACCTAATCCATTAAATGGTACTAATGCCATGACTTCATGAGAAAGCTGCCTTGTTACTGGCTCATTACTAAAACGGGCTTAGAAGAAATCAATGGATGAGATGCAAAAATAAGAGAATAAAATTTGCCTTAAAACAATAGACCATGCTAGGCTGATTCTGTTCCAAGATGTTGACACACTCCTATACCTCTCTGGTTGCATTGTTATAAGATGCTGATTCTGGTGTATGCAACTGGGAAATTGTCTCCAGGAACAGAATAAGCTCATCTTTATGGCTCTACAAACATTCTCTTTCTCAATTTCCAACACTAAGTGTCAGGTGAAGCACAGAGGCCAGCAAGAGAGTGTTAGGAGACAATTAAGACTGACATTCTTTGGCTTCTTACCTCAGAAAACTGAAGCCTGCCAAAGTCACTGGGGGGACTTGCGATCTTGAAGACTTTCTTTGGCATCATCCATGTCTCCAGTGTCTCCAGTTTGCTCACAGCAAGGTTAGTCACATGGTGCTTGATCAGAAAACCTTGGAAACGGTCGGCAAGGAAGTAGAGATGGACAGATGCTGGGTGGCCCATTGGGTAGTACCTACAAACATAGGATCAGGATATGAGGTGTGCAGTGTCACCATGAGGCCCCCACACTTCACAGTGGTCTAGCTCCTACAATAGGCCCTGTTAAGCCAATGTTTACCTTAATCTGCATCAGTCTGAAAGCTGCTATCTATGAATCCAGGGTCTAAGTATTTGCAAATAATTTTTTTTTAACCAGTGATAAATGGAAAACATGCTGACTATAGGAAAGTACAATAAAGAAAAGAAATCACTGCTTTTGATGCCTGTTCCCATAAATAACACCCATTCACAGATATCTATTAAGTGCTGGGTACCAGAGAGTGAAATGATGCCTGAATACTTCTGTTGGTGCCTTTTCCTGTAGCCTTGTTTTCAATGTATGTATTTGCAAACATGTTACCTAGTGGGCTAGCTAATATGTGTATGTGAAGGTGGAGGTACACGCATGTAAAGGCTAACTCTAACCACAGATGTCATTCCTTAGGTGTCTTCCACCTTGTTTTTAAAGGCAGGTTCTATCATTGACCTATCGTTTGTCAAGTGGGTTAGACTAGCTGGCCAGCAAGCCCTAGAGACCTCGCCAGTGCTGGTATAACCAAGCACCTGCCACTATGTCTGGCTTTTTGAATGTGGGTTCTGCAAGACTGTATGTTCTCACACTCATGTGGCAAACACTTTATTGATAGAGACATCTCCCCAGTCTCATGAATATTATGCAGCTGGAATCATAACATATATGCTATGCTTTTGTGCCATTGGACTTCCTGAGCACACTCACATCTCTGAAAATAAGATTGTGTGTTTCTGTGTGGCTAGGAGTGTGTCATGGAACATGGTATGTTATAGAAGCAGTGATCTTTTGATGGATAATAGTAGACTATAAAATATTTGTTATTCTGTTGGAATTCATATTTATTTACCCTGTCTCACACACACACACACACACACACACATACACACACACACACACACACACACACCTCTAAAACTCTTTATCTAGTACCCAAGTTTGTTAGAAACACTGATTTATCTTCTTGTTGTTGTCTTCCTTAAATGGGTGTTGATAACCCCACACTCTTTTTCTTTTTCTAAAAATTACTGCCAATACATACTTGCAAACATCCAGCCTCCAACAGGAAGTTTGTTTTAAATTGCGTGCCTTTGGTCTGTACAGATTTGCTGGCTAGATAGGGCTCAAAAGCTTAGCATGGAAAAGGAAGAAATGGGAAGCAGAAAGGAGAATGGAAGAGTGAGCCGTGGAGACCAGCAACTCTCCACTTGCAAAATAAAAAGCTGCCACTTCTGCAGCGTGTAAATTGCACAGCGATAAGAGGCTGCCGTGGCTCCCTAATAACAGCGTTCCACAAATCACTGTCCCTCCTCTGCGAAACGCAGGCTTCCCTCTGCTTCCGATCTGGAGTTTGAAGTCTTTATGTTCAATTAGAATGGTAGGGGAAGCCTCCTTCCTGTGTTGACGCACCTCTCGAAATCACTGCCTTGTTACTGGGATGCCTCTGGGGCTCTGCAGAAAGAACCAGCTTTCTTCAGAGTGCTGGGTCTTCATGGCTCACACTGCACTTTAGATGTGATCGTTGTGGGTGGGAAGCCTTGGACCCTGTGCTGTTGCAGATGCTTGGCATTGTTTGGCAGTGCCTTCTCAGGTGGTGGAGGTGTGGGGTATCTGTGCTGCCCACCATGGTAGCCACCAGTAACTGCTGAGCACTTGAAATGTGGGCACAATTTTTAATGTTAGTTCATTTATTATTCTTTAATTTGTGTGCATGTGTGGTACAGGTATGTGTGTGCATGTGTGAATGCACGTGTGTGTGTATAGGCCAGAGGTGATATAAGGTGTCTTTTTCTATAACTCATCAACTTATTTTTTTGAGACAGGGTCTCTAAATGAACCTAGAGCTCACCAACTAGCTAGACTGGATGGCCAGTGAACCCCAGGGATCTTCCTGTCTGCCTCCTGGTGCTAGAACTAAAGTTTCATGCTGACATGCTTGACTTTTTATGTGGGTGCTGGGGATCTGAACTCAGGCCTTCATGCTTGACTAGCAAGCATTTTACCCATCTTCTCAGTCTCATTACTATTATTATTTTTTCTTTTCAGACAGAGTCACATGCATGCCAGGTAGGCATCTAACTTAATACATAGTCAAACATGGCCTTGAATTCCTGATTTTCTTGTCTCTTCTTCCAAATGCTGAAATTACAGATGTAGGCAACTATGCTTGCCTTAATTTTACTTAGTTTAAATGAGGATGATCACATGTGGTACTTGGACTCCTTGATATAGCCTTGGAAGAGTCTGTGTTCACCTGCACAGGTGACCCCAAAGCCTCAGGTTTCCAGTATCTGGAGCACATTTGCAACCTTCTCTGCACTGGTGTGGAAGAGTCTATTTCCCACTCCTGGCTCATCTTTGACCAATAGCAGGTGGAGAGATGCCATGGCTGTTCTGATCCAGGCCTTGTCAACCTTGTGTCTACCTTCTTGCCTTCTTGGGGTCACCATGGGAGTTGTGCTTACGCTAGTTTGTGTAAAGATGAGTCATTGGTAATGGATGAGAGTCACTAAAAGTGTCCGAGTCTGTGCCATTGTGGTTTAGCCAACAGCTCCCAGCCAAGAGCTGCAGAACAACCCCTCTGACCTGCAGCTGGCTGCAGATGCAGAAGGGAGGCAGGTCCAGACTCAGAAGGAAGATGGCCCAGCTGATTCACAAGTGAGCACGAAGGGAATGATTACAAATTCCCAACCCTGGTCTATTTGCTGCAAGGCATTGTTCCAGCAGTCCACAGGTAATGCACTGTTGGTGTTTGTTTTGTGAGGTGGGGAAGGCCACAGATAGAGGAAAGCTTGCTGCCTGGGAGTCAAAGGAGAAAATATTTCCAGAAAGGAGCAGTCAATCATACTGAGTGTTGCTGAATGTCAAGAACATGAGTGAAGGTTGAGTATTGGAGTAATCTGTTGTTTTATTGCTTGTCTTTTCTTGCATTCTTCTGTACGTGTGTGTGTGTGTGTGTGTGTGTGTGTGTGTGTGTGTGTGTGTGTGTGTGTGTGTGTGTGTGTGTTTGGGGGTGAGTGTGTACATGTGGGGGTGTTGGTGAGTGTGTGTACAGAATGCCTGTGGGGGCCAGAGGACGGTGTTGGGTATCAGTCCTTGGGTATCCTCTGCCCTTTGTTTGAGGTGAGGTCTCTTACTGGCCTGGAACTTTGTCACTTAGGCTAGGCTAGCTGTGAGCCTCCAGGATCCATCGTCTGCTGTTCTCTCTCACCATTGCTGGGATTATAGGCAGGTGTTACAGTGCTGGAGATCCAAGTCTTCATGCTTGTGAGACAAGCGCTTTCTCCCACTGAGTCATCTCCACCAAGAATGCTTGTTGTCTGGCTCTACCTCCTGCTCTACTGAGTACTGCCAGAGCCTGGCCCAAGCCTTCATAATGCCTCCACGGGGGCAGGAATAACTTCACTGTAGTCACACTGGTTGCTTCTTTGTCAGCCACAAGCACTGTGCTTAATACTTGTAGCTGGAGTGCAAAGCCTTGTCTTTTTCTACTTGTTTTGTTCCCCTCTGCCCAAACTGCCCACTTTCTGGCCACAGGTGCCTTACTTTGGGCTCCTGGGTGTGCTGAGCTCGGTTGTGCCCCAGGGCATTTGCACAGGACCCTCTGTCTGCTGGGGATGAGCTTCTCTTGTGAGTATATGGTGAGCTGTGCCTTGCCTTTGTGCTTAATGAGAACTTGCTCCGAACTCAGCAGAGCATTCATTCTTACAGATAGTTTTGACCTCTGTGATCACACATGCCCAGGCACATGTGCACACTTGGGGACTGTGTGTCTTCACACTAGAATGTGAAGATCAGGACCTTGGGGTCAGGTCTGTCTGGGTCAGAGGTGAATGTTCAGTGCCTAACAAAGAGCCTGGTACACAGTGGGTGTTCAAGCCATGCTTGCTGAGTGAGTGAAAACCTAGGATTCCCTATAGCTTTGCACTTCTTAAGTACACCTGAGGACCATGTAGCCTGAGATGTAACACACAGCCCTCTGCACCTTCTCATCACATTCCTCCATCCCTAGGGAATGGCAATAGCAACTTCACTAAGAAAAGTCAAAGAGCCAAGAGGCAGTACGATAACTTACAGAATGTAGTGGCAACATTTGTTTGGCCCAAGGTATGTTTCTCTCACTCTTTATTTACATAAGGTGAGCTTGGGGAAAAAAAATAGAGCAAAGCATACAACTTTGGGTTTCTGCTTGCCTTGAAAAAGCAAGTGTTTGGTAGTCAACTTCAAGTTGACATTCTGAGCAGCTTGGGCTAGAGTTCAACTAAGTAGTACAAGTGGTCTAGGCCAGTTTGCACAGCACCTCCTGCTGGGTGTGTACTGACTTGCAGGTGCATGGAGCTCAAGTGGTCTAGGTCGGTGTGCACAGTGCCCCCTGTAGGGCTCATGCTGACTCACAAGTACTATATTATTTACTGGCATCTGAGTTGGGGTTTGGTAGTAACATATTGGCATCTCAATCCCTGCATGGTGGATCGGAAGTGGCCTCTATTTTCTTGTGCTCTCATGTTTGAATCTGCTACATCAAACATTTCTGCAAAGCACATGCATTACTTTATAATGAGAAAATGAATCAATAAACACTGTTTTATGAAAGGTTGTACTGCAGCCTAGAAACGCACAGTGTGCATGAAATGCCCAGATCAGATGAAAGGCACTTGCTATTTCCCTAGATGCCCCACGGGTAGCAATTCATTCTCCTTTGCCTTTTTTGGGATAAGGGTCCTTTGTCCTGATTTATTCCTAGCCTCCGATTCATAAATACATGGCTTTGCCCACGGCAAGGCACAATAGCTCCATCACAATAAAAAATGAAGGAGAAAAGCCAAAGGATTCTGGGCCCAAGGCAACTAGATGGCTTGCTTCATTCCAAAGCAAGTACCAGGAGAAAGTTTCAACAACCCTAAATAAATCGGGAGTGTCTTTTGGAATTCCCTATAAGATCATTTATCTTATAGGTTCTAGGGAGCTCATGATTAAGCTGGTCCAGAAGAACAGTTGCCTCCCAAGTTTGGGGCACGATGCTGTATACTAGACAAACGGTCTGTGCTTCCAAGGTTTACACTCTTCCCACAGTCTGGCCAGGGGGAAAAGACACTCGCTGACATTGATACTGGGTGGTACAACCACACGAGATGGGCCTGATGTCCCTTTGACTTGGGGAGGTCAGGAGTGGGGGTGGCAGGAACCCTTGACCACAGAGGTGGATTGGGAGATAGCTCCATTGGTAAAATTGCTTGCCATGCAAGTGTGAAGACCTGAATTCAGATCCCCAGTACCTTCGTAAAAATCCAGATTTGTGGCATGTGCCTGTATTACCAGCACTGGGGAGAGAGAAGGACCCCTGGGGTTTGCTGGCCAATCTTACTGAATCAGTGAACACACACACACACACACACACACACACACACACACACACACAGTGGGCTGCAAAGGCGACTCAGCAGCAAGGGCTTAAAATGCTCTTGTAGAGGACACTAGTTCAGTTCCCAGCATCCTGAGTGGGTAGCTCAAAACAGCCTATAACTCCAACTCCAGGGCACCCAATGCCTTCTCCTGGCCTCCGTGGCCATCCATACTCATATGCACATATCCCTATACCCACACAAAGGCACAAGTGCATATTAATACTTCAAAAAAATGTGGGAAAATGAGACGAAGAGTGATAGAGGAGCATACCTGACATTGGTCTCTGGCCTGCACAGTTACATGAATGTGTACACATGCACACACCATAACACACATAAGCTTCTGACAGGGTGGGACTTGATGACCTTAACGACCAGGAAAGGTAAACTATGCAGTGATGGTAGGGATAGTAAATAAAGAGCCACAATGAAACAGCAACGGGAGGTGCTCCTTACGGTTACTATCTTAACCAGAACACTCACGGCTAGCCATTGTGATGGCTCTAATAAGGGTCACTAGGGCATCAAAATCTCGTGAAAGCTACTGAACACCTCAGCACGTAAAATAAGATTAAAATGAGGATCACAGTACACACTCAGGAGGGGGCTTGTGAGCACTTTCTTTTCATCTTACACAAGAAGAAACTGAGGATCTGAGGAGTTCACACCTTGTCCAAGGTCCAGATATAATGGTGCACACCTGTGATCTCAGACGTGGGGGCTGAGGCTGGAGGGCCACAGTGAGCTTAAGGTCAGCCGGGGCGACACAGTGAGATACTGTTTGCAAAAGAGAAAAACCAAGGAAGATAGGCCGACGAGAAGGAAGGAAGGAAGGGAGGGAGGGAGGCAGAGATGGAGGCTATGATTAGGGTCAACGTTACAGCTTGTGTTCGGAGAGTAAAAGTAAGCTAAGAAGCAGAGCACTAGCACAGAGTGGAGGGACTCGTGTAGTGACCAGGGAGAGCAGGGAACAGAGAGGCATGGCATAGCACCTTGCTCTGCCAGTGACCCAGCTCAGCACCTGGCTCACCTGCAGCTGTTTTCCCCATCAGTGTGCAGGGATGACTCTGCCCTCCGCAGGCCCAGACGGATGAAGGAGTGGTACAGGGTGAGCGCCACATCGCTGAGGCTGTGGATGCCATCTGGCTCGTCATAGACATTCTCCCAGTAGGAGCGGAGGCCCGGGGTGCCCGCAGGATAGTTCCCATACAGGTAAGAGTCCAGCTGCCCAATGATTTCCTGGTTCACTACAGCTTCAAATTTCCGGGCAAAGAAGGTGGGCCGGGCTGTCTGCTGTGCTCAGGAGAGATACAAGAAAAGTTTATCATCAAACAGTGGGGGGAGGGGGCATCATCCTACACCCTTTGAGGAGAGGAAAGACACTTCTGTAAGCTTGCCCGGTTCAAACTCCAGCCCTGGGACTCCATGACCTTTCAACATTCTCCTCTATAAAATGGAACAGAATGAGAGTGGGACAATGTTAGAACCTGTAAGACATCCAAGCATGGTGGGCACTTAGGAATCACCACCCAAATGACCCTGAAATAAACTGAATCATGGGTGGTCAGTGCTAGGTTGGTGCTCAGTGTTTTAGTGAAGGTCACAGATGAGCAATTTTACTTGGCTGGGAGAACACCTTAAAATCAGATTATTGGCAATGTTTACAAAGTGGAAGATTCACGGAAACAGTTCTGGCTTCCTTTTAAATAGCAACTGTTATGGGAAACCCAGGTCACATTCTGAAGTGGTAGTGGTAGGTAAACAAGAAAAGCAGCTCATCCCTTTAAAAAATCATAGCCTGTTCTTCCTGTCACTGTCTCCACCGTGCCTTAGTGCCCCCTGGCATCCTAGCTGATGGGCAGGCTCACCAGGGACACTCTGGGCATGAGATTTCACATGCTCCAGGAGCTGGGGGTGTGGCACTCTGCATTTGATAGCTTTCCAAGTAACTCCAAAGGAAAACCCAGTTACTCGCATATGGGACTCCACTTTGTCTATGACTCTTCCTCATTCATTCTAAAATTACCCTTTGTTTCAGTTAACCTTGAGTTTCAGGATCACAGATCTGCTAGATGAACATTTTACAGCAGAAATAAAAACTTCCCTTCAACAAGCAGCTGTTTTCTTAGCACCAATAAGACTCCATACAACCTATCTCAGGGTAATGATCAGCCAGACCGTGGTCTGAGCAAGACTTTCACCAGGTAAACCCACAGCCCCTTGCCCTTTTCTCTTACTCAACAACTCTGGCGACTTTCAGAAATGTAAATAAAATTCCCAACTGATTATAATGTTTTCCCATGTAAACTGAGAACTCATGGGAATGGGTCCAGAGGGAGAAGGAGATTTATTCACAGATAAACAGCAAATCAGTGGCTGTTCTGGGATGAAGACTTAGGGTTCAAAGTCCGAGACAATATATGCTGACTGAGGAAAAAGCTCAGTCAGTGAAGTGTTTGCTAGGTAAGCAGGAGGCCTTGAGCTGGGTTTCTGGACCATGTGAAAACACTAGCCATGGTGATGTGTGCCTGTAATCCCGGGGCTGGAGAGATAGAGATGGGCGGATCCTCGGGGCTTGTTGGCCAGTATAGCTTAATTAGGGAATTCTGGGCTCAGTGAGAGACTCTGCTTCATGGCCAGTATTGTGAAAATACTCCCTCTTGGGAGACTTAAATATCTACTCCCTCTTCAAAAGACCTCAACGACAAACCAAAGTTCAGATAAACCAATGATCACCCTGGGGGAACAAATGAGTTTATTAGGCTCTTATAGAACATGGGTGAGAGGTTATAGGCAGGGGCATGGTTACTCTGAAGCACCTGGAAGGTCTGCATCCAGCAGAGAAGATGGCTCCCTAGCTGCACAGATGGATCCTTTTCATGTTAAACTTCTCCAGCCTACATCCTCTATCCTTTCCCTGAGAACCCCAGGGCCATATGCAATTAGGACAGAACAGCTAGCTAGATACTCAGGTGAGAGTTCAATGATCCTGTTGACTGCTCCTATGTAGGAATGTCCACAGTCCATAGGCCACCCTCCTATGTAGGAATATCCACAGGCCATCGGCCACCCTCCTATGCAGGAATGTCCACAGTCCAGAGGCCACCCTTCTATGCAGGAATGTCCACAGTCCACAGGCTACCCTCCTATGCAGAAGTGTCCACAGTCCACAGGCCACCCTCCTATGCAGAAATGTCCACAGTCAACAGGCCACCCTCCTATGCAGGAATGCCCACAGTCCATAGGCTACATCATGATGGACTTTTGCAAATAGGCACAGCTGGTCTCTTGAAGATGGAAGTTGTTTTGCCTAGAGGACTGAGTTCTATAACAGCGTCCAGAGAAACGATGCCTAAAGTTGGTCTCTGCACACATAGACACATAAACACAAACACATACACACATGCAAGCACACTCATGCACTCACATGTGCGTATAAAGAAATAAAACACAAAGCACCTGCCATCTGTAAGTATTATACTATTTCTTAGGCAGAGCTTCACAAACTTCTTCAGCAGAAGGCCAAAATGTAGATATGTAAAGCACTGAAACTTCTCAACTCTGAGGCATGGAAACACCCAGAGACAAAATGGTAAGTGAGCAGTGGTGGTAGCTGCATTCCAACAGAACTTTATTATAAGAGTAGGCTAGGCTGACTCTGGCCAGGGAGTTGTAGTGTGCTGACCCATGGCCCAGGACTGTACAAAGAGCTAACATACAGCCCTGTCCCTTGAGGAGTTCACTCTGGCCAACTGTTACTGTGGGTTGAGCACAGTGTGCCCTTCAGAGGACTAATGGCTGCAATAATGATACTGATAACTCTGGGGATATTGTACAAAAGGCATCACAATCTCGTCACCTAAGTCAGCCAGGCAGGGTCATAATTCCCATTCTACAGATGAGGAACCGATACTCAGGAAATGCTCACAGCTCCAACACTTATACCACATCCCACAGCTCCAAACCCTGAGCTTTTTTGTCACATCTCTCTACAATGGACTGGTGAGTGAGCAGAAAGCCCCTAAGAAAGAAACATCCTGGACTTGGTGCTGAGCATCTTATCACCTTCACTTCCTGGGCCCTGGGATCTCTGTTTTGGAGAGGGGTTGGACAGCACTAGGGACTCAACCCACTTGAGTTCACGTCCTCTGCTATGTCTTAAGTGTGCATGTCTTTAGGCATATCTCCCAACTGCCCTAACTTCAATTTCCCTGTCTTTGAAGTGGGTACAGAAGCATGAGTTACTAGCACATGTTTTCATAGGCCGGAAAAGGGTGTTGGATTCCCTGAAGCTGGAGTTACAGGCATATGTGAGCCATCTGACATGGTGCTGGGAACTGAACTTGGGTCCTCTAGAAGAGCAGGAAGACTCTTAATCAATGAGCCACCTCTCTAGCCCCAAGGGTATGAGTCTATTTTTATCATTCTCTTCCTCAGAGTTCCTTGGAAAAGAACTCTCTGCTTCTGAGAGACAGCAGAGAGTCTAGATATTGAAGGTTAGCCTTGTCTTTACTTATTGCAAAAGAAAGAGCTGTGTGCACATACCTTACTCTCTAAGTCAGCCTGGTTCATCAGAGACCATGATGTCCCCAGGAAGTTGTGACTGTCTTACAGATGCCACCACCAGGAACAGCCTGAGGTAGCAACACTCCCAAGAATCAGCATACTAAAGCTCTGGGCTTCTATCTTTAAATGCTGAAGGTCTGCAGCAAAGGCCTGGGATCACCCTAGACAAAAGCATGACCACTTTTCTTCTTTTGGACAGATAAGGCATTGCCCCTGCAGCCTTCTTGCTCTGCACAGACAGTGAGTGGAGAGTCCCAAAACACCCAAGTTTATGCTTAAGTTAACATTAGTCTGAAGGATCCTGGCAGCTCTCAGTGCATCACCAAATATAGGCAGCTAAAGATGATCAGTGGGGATGTTGGGAAATAATAACAACAGAAAATAGCTGCTTTTTCTGTGTCCACAGAGGTACAGAACTAGTGGAGACTAACATACCTACCTATCCTTAGCCCTACCAAATTCATTAGCTGCATGGCCACAAAAAAGAATTTTAATCCCTCTTTGCTTCAGTATGGCCACCGACAAAGCAGATGACCTCCATCCCAGCAAAGCCAATGCCCAAAGAGGGTCTGGCACACAGCTGATAAAGAGTAGATCCAACATGACAGTATCCTAATCACATGGTGACCTTCTACATGGTCTCTGTTTGGTCCTGACTTGTAGCTGTGCAAAAGGCTGAGGTTCTGCATCCTGGACAAGCCTCCTGGTGATGGAGATGCTACATATCTGTAGCTATGCTCCAAGGGACCAGGTCAAGAGACCTGAAGCTGCACAAAGGCAATTTTGATTATGCATCACCACATCAAGGATGTCTCCTGGTGTCATCAGCTTGTGCTGCTGTGCCTGCCATCCTTCTGCAAAGCAGAATATCATCTCCATGTGATGACTATAGGGACTCCACCTGATCTGTTTCAGCATTTTATAGGGTTTTTTTTTGTTCCACTAGAAAGAGAAGAGGAAAAAACCCAGAGCCCATACCTCCCAGGTACCACACTGTCCTGGGGGAGGAAATAGAGTGAGAAGAAAGTCCATCTAGAGTAGGACTCGGGGGCCAAGGCTCTCTCCTGGCTTGTGGCAAGCAGGTTAGCATTTCCTACCCTGCTACCTCCACACCGATCAGGATTGTACAGTGAAAGGTTATGCAGAGACAGCTGTACAAGAAATGATGTTTCCACCTCTAGTTATTCCTTCAAGTTTATAGAACATGGTGGTCTCCCAACCTGGATACTCCTCAGGTTTTTCCAAAGTGCAAAACAACAATATTCTAGCCTTTGCTGGAGACCAGTGGTTCTCACCAAGGGGAAAGTTTGAACTTAGGGCATATTTTGGGACATTGTTGGACATCTTTGGTCATGACAGTTGAAGATGCAGCTGCTACCTGTGGGTGGAGACCACAGAGGATGGTCTCCAACAACACATTGACCCAGTCACAATGCCAGGAGTGCTGGGGTGAAAAATCTGCCCTCAATATAGTCAAGCATATACCAAGAAAAAACTGTTTTAACAAATATTCCTGGGGATTGTGACTGAGAGGCAATATAGAGAAGATGATGGGAATGACCTTGGAAATTGATGCTTGGGTTACATCATCTCTTATTGTATGTATTCATCCATGATTCAGTCTATCTGTCTGTCTGTCTCTCTCTGTAGTGTAGTGTTTGTCTCTCTCTCTCTCTCTCTGTGTTCAGGTGCAAACACCTGTGCATGTGTGTATAGAGTTTGGAAGAGGATGTTGGGTATCTCACCCTAGGGCTCTCTGCCTTGAGACGGTATTTCACTGAACCTGGAGCTTACCATTTTCAGCTAGCCTGCTGGTCACTGTACCTCATGGATTTTCCTCTCTGTCATTCCTCAGCACCAGGGTTAAAGACACAGCCATTCCAGGCTTCTACTGTGGGTGCTGTGGATCCAAACTCAGCTCCTTACGCTTGTGTAGCACTTACCCTTTCTCGAACAGCTGTTTCTCTAGCCTGGGATGTGTGATCATGAACAGGGTTTCCGAGCATTTGCACCTCAGTTTATCTCTAAGATGGAAGGGTCATAAGAGCGGCAACACACACGTCAGGGCTATTGGGAGGTTCATGAATCACTCCGGGGAGGCTAGTTCAGCCACTTGGCATGGGATAAATGCTTGCTAACTGCTGGGCAGTGAGGATAAGATGGCTCATCGGTCTGGCCTTAAAGGCTTGCAGCGGCTTCCTTGGAAGGTGTGTGTCTGTGTGTGGGGGGGCAGGTGGGCTCACCTGGAAGCGATGGAAGTCCTGAGGCTTGAAGTCGTTGGGGGAGCAGCCACACCAGTCCACGATGTGTTTGTACTGGCACTTGCAGCCCAGCTTGCGGTTCCAGTTGGTGATGCGCAGGTTGTTATCCACCATGGTGTCACAGTGGGGGCTGTTCTCCAGGACTGTGTGGAAAAAGGACTGCAGAGGAGAGAAGGGTGCAGACTGAGAACCCAGTAACACACAATCAAGTGTGTCAGATTGGCATGTTCCCCCTGAAGACCATGGAGTGCAAAGGCTTTCCAGGACGCCGGTATCAAGTCTATCTCAGGCACACAACATCAGCTGCCAGGCCTGTCCATCTCAGTGCTCAGATGTCTGTTTAGACTTCATGGGATAATTCTACTTACAGGTCTATTGCCTTGGACATGCCTTCCCTAGTGCCTAAAATCCGATATGAAGATATCTGCCCCTTATCACTCAGGACATCTGCTGTCTGTTGAACAGATAGGAAGAGTTTCTCAAGATGTATTAACAAATGGGGACCAGAAGCAAACAGGGCGGACAGCTTCCCAGAAAACTACAGGCTGCAAGGGCTCTTGCTTGCAAAGAGCCAGACTGGAAACCTATAGGTTTCAGGTCTGCAATAGATTGGTAACAATGTCCAGTGAACTTGGATTTCAGCTCTGGACGAGGAAGGCCAGACTCTTGGGTCCACCCATACACTGACTACATTGCAGGGCAGGGCAGGGCTGCTTGCTGTCCATCACTCTCACTACAACACAAGAAAAGGTGGGTGGGAGAGATGCTGCTATTGGTAGTGCTGGACCAGGAGCCACTGCACTAAGAGAATGCGACTAGAACAGAGTGCTTGCTGTCCACGGTCCTTAATCAGGGTGTTGCTAGACTGGGTATTGAGGGTTGTTTTCTGTCCGTGGTGCTGAAGGTGCCCACACAGTGTGGCCATAACACAAGTAAAAGTGGGCGGACAGCTTCTATGCATGCTTTCTATGCTAATGAACCAGGGCCCATAGTCCTCTTCTAATTCTAGGACTCTTGGCCAGTTCTTTCAAGGACTCTGAGGAAGAGGTAATGCTGGGAGGAAAAGAGAGACAGAGAGGAGACATAATGTTTGGTTAGAGACACTGAGATACTGAAAGAGAAGGGAAAGAGAGATTTCTGTTTCAACGCTATTTTATAACAAGCTCTGCCAACTGGAGAATATGCTTCCTCTGGACCCTGGTTCCCAGGGGAAGCTGTTGGTGGATATGTGTCTGACTGTTGCAAATTTATGGACACAGCCTTTGGATTTTTTTTTTTTTCCTAAGCCCTGGAGCTGTCTAGGAAAGAACAAGCAGGCAGACGTAGCACAATGGAGGGAGAGGGTCTGACAGAGACCCCAGGGACATGTTTTAATGCTGAGGTAGGGGTGGGGAAGAGAGTGCACTCAGAGTTGTGGGCACCGATGGTGTCATTGGCATATTGCTGAGAACAACCAAACTCCCAGAGAATCTCTTTTAGATGGGCGGATGGGCAAAATGAAGCTCCACCTGCCACTCAACTCCACTCACTTGTCTTCCTGTGATGCTAATGACATTGGCAGGGGACCTGGATTTAAACTTGAATTGTCTACAAGCCCACAGAGGCACCTCTCTTCCATCAAGCAGTGGGGAAAAGTACCCAATTATCAATTGCCCTGTGTCCTTTATAGCGATGCAGAAATTCCCTGCAAGATAATGGATGAGGAGGTTATCAGAATGGAGAGAAAAGGTGATTTTCGCTGAAACAGGATTAAAAGCTGATGACTTAACATGTGCACAGAATAGTAAAACGTGGCTCAGAGAGGCTGAGCTTCTCTTCACACTGAGGCGTGTAGACAGCCAGTCCTCCTGGGAGCTGGCCCCTGACCTGATAATACATGGGAACCATCCATGGAGATGCATGGTTTGTTCCAGACTTTGTGATCAGAGCTTGTGGCCCAACAGGGGGGAAGCAGAGAACCACACATGGGCAATGCCACAGGCTCCATGGAAACAGAACATGCACTGGGGTTTTCCCAAGGTTAGAAGTCAGGATAAAATTGCATGGAGGTCAGTGAGATGAAGCTAGATGCTCTGGTCTCAGATCTGATAAGGCAGCTTCCAGCATGTGATGGGCAACATATGAGGATGTGCCTGGCTGTTTTAGAATGGTCTTGAGCCTTATGCAATGGGGACTGCACCTGGATGCTACAAAAGATTCAGGGGCTTGTTCAATATGCTCCACAGGAAGGGCTGGGTCCTGAACATTTGGCCATGATGGCTGACAATGGAGAGGGCCAGTGAAAGAGATCCTGTTTAGTTTCCTCAGGGCAATTTTGGATCAAAAGTGTGCGCATGTGTGCGCACACATGTGTGTACAATGAAGACAGCACTATCAGGGAGTGACAGGAATGACAGAACTGTATTCAAATGAGAAAAGGGATTACTGGTGCTGAAAACGGTTATTACTTTACTGCATGATTGATGACTGGAGGATGTATTAAAAGTTGATGTGGCCGTGTCCTGGAACTGTTAGCATGCACTGCACAATTGCAAAGAGTGTCATCAACAATCAGAGGGCTTGCAATTTTAATACTTTTTTTTTGTTGCTGCAAAATAGCAATAACATCTTTTTCTAGAAAATTCAGAATATTGGATTTTTTTTCTATTACAAATGGGGGCTGAGTGCCTTGACTAGGGCTGCTTTCTGTACTTTGCATGGAGAGACCATGCAGGCTGTTGGTAGCATCCCTGACACTGTATGTGCACCACAGTTCTTGCTATAATGTCAGGATGTGCTGGGATCAATGTGGTTCTTCAGCCTTGTCTGGTGATTTACAGAATAGTCCCGTGGAGCCAGGCTCACACTGCCAAACATTCACTCTCTGCTAAGGCTACACATAGCCCCTGTCCCTGTCCCCTGACCTGGGATCTTTCCTGGTACTCACCTCAGCAGGAAGGAGGGTGTAAGAGTAAAACTGCTTCATCTTTGTCACCAGGTCATCCGTGGAGAATGCCACATATTCCACAAACTTCCGGTTAAGCAGGAACCAATCAGAGCCACCGTCCACAGCAATGCCCTCTGGGATCCGCCGATCCCCCAGGCGCCACATGTGTGCATCACACTCCAGGAAAAGACGGTCCAGGCCCTGTTTCCGAATGAACCTGGGCAAAACAGGTTGAACTTGAGTACCTGGGAAAGAGAGGTCTTCCCAGAGCCCAAGGACACCATCATGGTAGTCAGGGCATTTATTGAGTATTTTTTATGTGCTCGTTGGAGCCAGGATTTCGTGATGAGCCCACCGCTTATTCCTCTGGAGTGAGGGAGGGCACAACACCTAAGGGGCAGGAATTACTGTTGTCCTATTGGATGGAAGAACCACTGGATCCCAGAGAATCTAGTGTAGTCAGCCACCCAGAAGCTCACACAGACATGAGCAAATTCAGTCTCACCTTAACTTTTCTAGAAATCTCTCCCAACAGCCTTTTAGTGGCTGCTGTGACAGTGTGATGAATGCAGCTCGTGGGCCCTCATCTTAGGACAATGCTATGAAGTTCCTTTCCATGCTCACTCACTCACACTCACATGCACACTCTTACACGTACACTCACACTGACATAACTCAGTTGGTAGAAATGCCTGCATAGATAGCATGCATGAAGCCATGGTTCAATCTCCAGTTTGAATCTGCCTGGCATGATGACATCATCCCAGCACTCAGGAGGTAGAGGCAGGAGGAACATAAATTTAAGGTCGTCTTTGGCTATGTGCTGAGTTCTGAGGCTAGCTTGGGGTTGATACACACATACACACACAAACACACACACACATGCACATGCATCAGATTTAGATTCCATCATGAGTGCATGGTTGGAACCTTCTGGGCTTTAAGCTCCACATGGATACTGAGCTTGTTAGAGTGAAAATCCTTCCTTCTTGATCCCCACAAGCACCAAGAACCATGCTTAGCATGTGATAGGTGTTCAATAAAGGCTTGTTGTGAAGAAACTGAAAGTTCAGGAAGAAAGTTTGCTCATAGTTCTGCTATAAACACCACAACAAAACCATGACATGTTAGTATTAATGCGTGTTGTTCTCTTTTCAGCACTAAAGTTCAAACCCAGGGCCTGAGCATGCTTGGCAGGTACTCCACCACCAAGTTCATACCTGAGTCTCAATTCACACATAATACATGGGTTTAATAAAATATTTTGAAAAAATAACAAATTATGATCTTTTAGGTATTTCATTAGCACATTAAATGACAAGATGTGGTGGCATCCTGGAACATCTAGTAAGTACTTTTGTGGAAGCAGTGGGCATAAATTATGCTTTGAAGCATCTACACAAACTATAATGTGATATGAGAGCTTGTAATTCCAGTCTGTGCCTAATTCAATGATCACTGGTATTGCCATGGCTTGATGCTTACACAATTTCAGGTTGCATTTGGTGGAAAAAAGTGAAAGGTCCATCTGAGCTCTTCTCATGCAAATACAAAACTGATGCCCCTGTCTTTTGTAGTAGAAAACACATTCTCTCTCTCTCTCTCTCTCTCTCTCTCTCTCTCTCTCTCTCTCTCTCTCTCTCCCTCCCTCCCTCCCTCCCTCCCTCCCTCCCTCTCTCTCTCTCTCTCTCTCTCTCTCTCTCTCTCTCTCTCTCTCTCTCTCTGTCTGTCTCTCTCTCTCTCTCCCTCTCTCCCTCTCATCTCCTTTAGGACTATGCAGGGCAGATGGGGCAGAAGTAGCATTTCTTCTCTGTCTCTGTTTCTGTGTCTCTGTCTTTTTCTGTGTCTGTCTGTCTGTCTCTCTCTCTCTCTGCAGCTAGGAAATTCAAAGCTCCTTACATGAGATCTAAGGAAGTGGGTGTGTTAGGAGTGTAGGCAGAACTATAAGCAAGCTTTCTTCTTGAACTTGCAGTTCACTCACAGCTAGTCTTTATTGAACACCTACTGTGTGTTAGGCATGGTTCTAGGTGCTCATGGGAGTCAAGAAGAAGGAAAGATGATCCTTGCTCTGATTAAACTAGGTGTCCATGGGTAGTCTACAGTCCAGAAAGCTCCCAATCCAGGGATCCTTCTGCCCTTCTGCTGTTCCAGCCTTCTGAGCCATGCACTGGTTCAGGAATCTGAATCTCTGAAGCTCTGATTAGCAGTCCTCTGTGTGAATCTCTCCTGTCACCCCTAGAGCAGTCCTGCCCCATGCTAGGCTGGCCTCACCCCTGCAGCAGTCCTGCTCCATGCTAGGCTGGCCTCACCCTGCAACAGTTCTGCTCCATGTGAGGGTGGCCTCACCCCTGCAGCAGTCCTGCTCCATGCTAGGCTGGCCTTACCCCTGCAGTAGTCCTGCTCCATGCTAGGCTGGCCTTACCCCTGCAGCAGTCCTGTTCCATGCGAGGGTGGCCTCACCCCTGAAATAGTCCTGTTCCATGCTAGGCTGGCCACTTTCCCAAAGACACACAGAGGACTCATATTGACAGAGTCCACCAGAACACCCAAATATCCAGAAGGCCTGGGTGTCCAGTATCCCTGGTTTTATTCTTTTCCTGGTGAGTTCATTCATAAAATCTCCTTCTTCTTGGGAAGTTCAGTGGGAGCTGTTCACTATGGACACGCTACCACTTCCACAGAAACAAAACTGGAGTGCGACAGGAAGTCTTGGGCTTTGAAATATCAACTCCTGTCTTGATTCCAGCTACTAATCATCATACAATACTGTCCAGGGGCAGCACAGGACCATGCTAAACAGATAACTTATGTGAAAATTCATATGTAAACCATACTAGCAGAGAGAGAAAGTGAAAAAGAACCCATCAGTGAGGGGCCTAGCAAATCCCTCCTTCCGTGGAGCAGTATTTAAACCCCACATTCCATCATGGGCTAGAAGAATCTTCTAGTAATTTTAATGTGATGTCCCAGGTCATAATACTCAAATGCAATATTCATGTATGAGTCATTTCCAAAATGAAATGTTCATGACTTTGGGGAAGTGGGTTCCACATTTACTGCTTTTCCAAACAGGATAAGCTGCAAATATGTGCTTTGGTTAAGTATGAGTAAATAAAGACAGCCCATTCCTGAGAAAAGTTTCTCACACCACAGGAGCTACTGAGGACTTTGTTTTGTTTTAGAAGAAGATGGTAGCAGACCAGAGTCTGGTTATCAACCAGGAGAGCAGAGTCAACTCTTTGAGCCAATATTTATTTTTTAAATTTTCATTTACTCTCTTCTGTGCATTCACCATGACAAAACATAAAAGGTGACGTTAGAAGACAAGGTAAGTCTAAAGTCACCCTCTTTTTATAGCTCCTGGTTCTCTTCCATGAGGGCTGAGCACTAGTTTGCATCTATGGAACTTACAATATGCAGAAGGGGATCAAGGATGTCCTCTCCATCCTCTCAGTTTTATTTCTCATTGCCATGGTTACCTTGGGGAATCTGGGCAACAGGTGGCGCCAAAGCAACACAGGCACTATGAAGACCCAGGTACTGATCCAAGTTCAGCATGACTCCATGAACCCACAAGAGGAGTTCTAACAGCCTTCTGTATCAGATGCCCCTGAAAGGGCCTTGCAAAGCATTTAGCAAACACTAGTTACCCAAGCAATGAATGAGGGCAACCGTCAATCAATTCTTCCACATGATGACACCCCTTGCCTATCCCTAGCATCTTGACTTCTTTTCTTGCTTTATTGTTATCCAAATGTATCTTCTTTCTCATGTGCAAGGTTCTTATTTAGTTTGTCATCTGTTTCTGCTCATGAGGTGTAAGTATTGAGATGGCAGAGATGTTTGTCTCCTGGTTCTCTACCATATCCCTAGAATAATGCATTCCATATACCAAGTACTCAGTAAATGTTTACTCAAGGGATGAATGAACAGCAGAAAAGGCCGGAGCCATAGCCATTAGACAATCAGGAAGTCACAGAAATGACACAACTAGGTACCCACCCAGTTCCTCTAACAGAGGAGTTAGAGGAATGGACTCTCTGAAAGGCTGAGTCATTTCAGCCAGGCTTGGTCACCCCAGCACTTGGGAAAGTGAGGCAGGAGGCTTGCCTTGAATTTGAGGGCAGCTTGGGCTATATAGTGAGTACCAGGCCAGCTGGAGCTACACAGCAATAACTTGCCTCAAACAAAACAAAAACAAGACAGGTTAAGTAACTTCTCCAAAGTCGCAGAGCCAGGGGTCTTGAGCTTGACTCCAAGGCAAGCTCTCAGGATTTCTGTCATTCTTCACTGCTTCAATTCACCAGGGCCCCTCCCAAAGGGGTAGAAACAAAGGCTTTGAGCATTTCCACTGTTTCAAAGAGATGGTGTCTGGGAGTAAGAGTCTCATTTTGCTTTGAAAGGTTTTCTGGGGGTCCTCACTTACACCTTCAGAGTGGCCTTCTTGAATTTCATATGGAAGCACTTGCATTCAGTTTTGCTTCCTGGGTTTTGAGAAATGCATGGCTTGCCTTTCAAAGTTTATTTTTACTTACAATATAGGACCAAGTCTTAGCTAAATAGGCTCCATTAGGAATCAAGGGACCAAATTCTAACAGCTGAGAAGGAACCTAAGTCACATGGAAGGTCTTGATTAAGCCACAGGGGTCCAGCTGCCCCCAGGGACGAAGAGGTCAGTGAAGAAGGGCTCCACAGTATCATCAGGAGCTAAAGTAGTTTCTCCATTCTGCTCATTCCCTTGCTGCCATCTTGGCATAACCACCAAGTATGGGGCTATAACTCAGGACTTTCTTGTGAGTTCTAAAAGGATGGAGGCTGTCCCTTAGGGTCCTCAGTGTGTTCAAAGAAGCCTTAGCAGTTCACTAAGATAACTAATTCTACAGCTGAGCAAAACAAACAAAGAGAAAAGCAACTGAGACCCAGAGAAGATGAATGATGTCCCAGAGTCACATTCCTGGACAAACCAATCTGCTCCATATTCTCCATGGCCAGCACCCTGTCATGGAACCCCTTTAGAAAAACACAAACCAGGCATTTTATTTAAAACATAAGGCCCAGGGTTGAGCCATGGTTTAGTTGGTAATGTGCTTGTGTAAAAAAAAAATGAGAACCCAAGTTTGATCTCCAGAACCCATGTAATAAGCCAAGTGTGGTGGTGCATACTTGTAACTCTGGTGCTCAGAGGCAGAGGCAGGTCAGGTGGATCCCTTGGCTCTA